TTCTAATAAATAAGACAACTTTTTTAATTTTTCTTAAAATCATTTATTTTATAAATACATGTTTCGACTATATCATAGCCATCATCAGTTAAAATATATTAAAATGCTTAAATCAAATTATTAAAGTTAAGTTGAACTAATTGAGACCTTATAATAAAAATACAATAAAAATGCAATTAAAAAATGTAATGAATGTTTTAAAAAAGATAAAAGAACCGGTAGCGTTACAAGGAACTAGATGTGAGTTAATTAATAGTGGGTTTTTCCCACTCAATGTACATGCTTTCTTTGAGTTTTAATATGTATTTATAATGTAAATGATTTTAACAAAAATTAAAAAAGTCTTATTTATTAGAATATTTACACATTTTGTGCTGAAGAGAAACTTTGGAAATACAATAAATGACATAGCACACAAGTACAAGCAATTTTTGAAAAGTGACTTTAGAAAACTAGAAAGATTATAATTTAAGTTATGCAAAGGAAATTTAGATATTGATTTTTTATATAATTGCAAAAAGTTTGGAGTTTTGCCGAAGTTTATTTGTTTTAATTTACCGGGTGTATCAAAATTTGACACTCGTCTTATAAGGAAACGATTACTCAGAAGTGCAATAGCAAAACGCAACAAGAAGATACAACAGTTTTATAATGAGCGTATTTTTAAATTTTATCAATCTACTGTTGATTGGTTTATTTTATAAAAAAGCTTTGAAAAATAACATCGAAAAAGAAATAGAAAAACTTTTGAAAATACATAAAAAGAAATTTAAAAATTTAACAAATGATCAGTTTAGCTTTTAATAATTTAGATATTATTTAGAATCTTACTTCATTTTAGCTTTCAGAGGACAAATTAGACATCCTTAAAAATGGACTGAACTTCTTTACTCTATCACAATATCTTAAAAGAACCGATATATATTCTTCATTCGAACTCATAAACCATTATCTTCAGAATAATTTAAAAAATAGTAACAACTCCAGTCAACTTAGAGCTGAACTTTCTTATCTTGCTAATTCCTATATATATAAATATCGCCTATTTAAAGGAACTCTAAAAAAAGTATGGAATTCTGAAAAAATTATATAAAAATCTAAATATCCTTTTTTGAAAACCAGTTAAGGGAAATGGTGTGGTTATTCTAGATAAAAAAACTTATGAAAATGGTCTCTACAAAACCACTAATGATTAATTTTAAAATGTTAAAATAGATGTCACTATCACCAATGAAACTTCAAAACCTTTTAAGGAAACTCAAGAAAAAAGATTTCTTTGATGAATCCAACTATATTAAAATATATCCTTTAGGTTCTCGTCCAGCCCGCATCTATGGTCTTCCAAAATTACATAAGATGATTTCTTCCAACGATAATATAAGTTTCAGACCTATTGTATCATCCATTGGTACTTATAATTATCAATTAGCTAAATTTCTTAGAGAACTACAATACCTTCTCCACTAATACCTTCGGAATTCTACACTAAAGATTCTTTCTTTTTTATTAAAGAAGTAAACCAAGCAAGCCTTCATAAACATTTCTTAGCATCTTACGATATTACAAGTTTATACACCAATATTCCACTACAAGACACAATAGATATTGCCGTCAATAGCATTATAAATAGTAAAGTTAATCTTAAAATTATAAAAAGTGATTTTAAAAAACTCTTCAATTTTGCAACATCTCAAACTCATTTTCTCTTCAAAGGACAAATTCATGACCAAATTACGGTGTTGCTATGGGTTCTCCCTTAGCACCTATTCTTGCTAATCTTTTCATGGAAAATTTAAAGATAAATGGCTCAAATCATAAACAGAGAAAACCAATCTTTTATAAACGGTATGTAGATGACATTTTTGCTGCTTTCACTTCCGAAAATCACGCTAATTTATTCTTGGTGTATATCTATAATAAACATAGCTATATTACTTTTACAATGGAAAAAGAAATTCAATCAAAAATGTCTTTTTTGGACCTAACTCTAAATAAAACAAATTCTACAAATACCACTGTTTTTCATAAGAAAACTTTGTCGGGACTCTACGCAAACTTTTTTAGTTTTACTTCATTTTCATACAAAGTTAGTCTGGTAAAATGTTTAATTGATAGAGCTTATAAAATAAACAACACTAGTCTCGGTCTTGGTCATGATATTAACAATATTTTTAAAGTTCTCAAATGCAACTTGTACATGTTTTGGTTGATTAAGAAAATCCATAGCTCTTATATTAAATACACCAATGTCAACATTTCATCACGTTCAAAAAACCTACAAAATTATCAATATTTCAAACTTCCTTAAATTGGAAAAATGTCTGATTTAACCAAACAAAAACTAAATGCAATCATTAAAAGATGTTGTAAATCGATTGATTTACAACATCTTTTAAAGATTGGTTTTTACTTCAATTAAAATTTCAAAATTCTTTTCCACAAAAGATCCTTTTCCTAAAGACTTTAATTCATTCATTGTCTATAAATTTGAATGTGCATGCTGTAAATCCTGTCATATTGACAAAACTACTTGCTATTTAAAGACACAAATAATCAAGCACCAAAAAAAGGGATAAAAAATTACACATTTATAAACATATTCATTCAAATGAAAGCTGATTTAGTATTTTTAATCATGCTAGTTTTTCAATTTTGGATTCGACCACCAACAAATTTATATCAAATTTATATCAAATTTACTCAAAGAAAGCATGTATATAGAGTGGGAAAAACCCACTATAAACAAATGAACCATGTAAAAATGACAATTTCAATATAGTTCTTTTTAACATTACCGGTTCTTTTATCTTTTTTAAAATATTTGTTACATTTTTAGGTTGCATTTTTATTGTATTCTTATTATAAGGTCTCTATTAGTTCAACTTAATTTTAATAATTTGATTTAAGCCTTTTAACTGATGACGGCTATGATATAGTCGAAACATATATATATATATAAAATAAATGATTTAAAAAAATTAAAAAAATTTTCTTATTAATTAGAAAATATATATATATATATATATATATATATATATATATATATATATATATATATATATATATATATATATATATATATATATATATATATATATATATATACATATATATATATATATATATATATATATATATATATATATATATATATATATATATATATATATATATATATACTATATAATAAAAAGCGTAATAAACTTTATATATATATATATATATATATATATATACATATACATATATATATATAAATTAGTAGAAAATCACTTAGCAAAATTTTTTCTCATTTAACACTGTGTTTCATCAATAAAGACTCATCAGAAATGAATATATATATATATAATATATATATATATATATATATATATATATATATATATATATATATATATATAGATATATATATATATATATATATATACATATATATATATATATATATATATATATATATATATATATATATATATATATATATATATATATATATATATATATATATATATATATATATATATATATATATATATATATATATATATATATACAGGGTTCCCACTATTAAAACTAAGGCTAAAATGAAGGATTTTAAGGAGATTTAAGAAGATATTTTCCTAATATTTAAGGAGATTTGGTCGCAAACGACATTTTTTTGAAAGAAAAAGTAAGGATAATTAAGGAGAAAACGATTACATTAAAAACATAATCTTATTTTTTTTAATAAATTTTAAATATAACAGAGAAATTATTATTACTTTTTATATATATATAATATATATATATATATATATATATATATATATATATATATATATATATATATATATATATATATATATATATATATATATATATATATATATATATATGTATATAAATTTTAATATATATATAATAACAAAAATAGGTTTGAAAACTATCAAAAATCTACATATTATCTTCTTTATTAACAAGTATAATCATTCACTATAAATAATTTTTCTAGATGAATAAAAAAAAATAAGGAGGAATTAAGGAGAGCAGTTAAATTTTAACTTTTTTAAAGGTTATTTAAGGAGATTTAAGGAGGCTTTTATTTTTTAAGGATATTTAAGGTTTTTATGGAGGTGTGGGAACCCTGATATATATATATATATATATAATATATATATATATATATATATATATATATATATATATATATATATATATATATATATATATATATATATATATATATATATATATATATATATATATATATATATATAAATTTTAATATATATATAATAACAAAAATAGGTTTGAAAACTATCAAAAATCTACATATTATCTTCTTTATTAACAAGTATAATCATTCACTATAAATAATTTTTCTAGATGAATAAAAAAAAACAAGGAGGAATTAAGGAGAGCAGTCAAATTTTAACTTTTTTAAAGGTTATTTAAGGAGATTTAAGGAGGCTTTTATTTTTTAAGGATATTTAAGGTTTTTATGGAGGTGTGGGAACCCTGATATATATATATATATATATATATATATATATATATATATATATATATATATATATATATATATATATATATATATATATATTTATATATATATATATATATATATATATATATATATATATATATATATATATATATATATATATATATATATATATATATATATATATATATATATATATATATATATATATAATACTAGGCGTAAAATCTGTTAAACTTAAGCACTATTTTTAAAAAGTTAAAGTATCTTTTCTAATTTTCTTTTATGAGTAAGAACTTAGAATTCCTAATATTTAATCAAACAGCAGCAGCAACAACAACGACAACGATGATGACAACAACAACAATATATTTAAATTGTAACACTTGAATAGTAATAAACAAAATAAATAATATTAAATTAATATATAGACTATAAATGAATAAAATATTAAAAATTTAAATTAAAGATAATTTAAAAAGTTAAAAAGAAAATTTGTAGGAAAAAAACAACTTACTACAACATTCTTTGGCTTTTACACAAGCTATATATGGTGTAATTTTTTCTTTCAACTCAGTTTGAAGATGAGAAAAAATAGTTTCATGATCTGGTAAATTTACACCTGATAAAAAAATTAAGTAAAAAATTTTTTATCTAAATAATAATACTTCAGCTAACGTTTCACATCATATTATGTCATTTTTAAGAGGGCTTTCCTTATTGTTTATGCAGACTTTAAAGCAAGTTTAGAGTTTAGTTCAAAGCAAATTAGAGCTGATAATTTCTTTTTAGGTCTCAAGGAAAACTGATATAGTTCTTTGTTTAAGTTGTTTAATTAGCAGTTAGTAAGTGACTCAGCAGATATTTGACCGCGGCCGGGACCAGATTTGTGACCGGGGCTGCATAAACATTTATACATCCTAAAGTATATTCTTTAAATTCAAAATTCATGTTATATTTTGTATATATATGTATATATAAACACCATTATGATCAACATGATTATCATAATAATCATTACCATCATGATAATGATGATGATGATGATCATCATCATTAGGTTTTAGCCTTCCTCTTTTATTCTATTTCTCTAATATAAACAATTTAGAGCATTTTTTTCTCAACTAAAGCTCATTTGTTAAATTTGTAAGGCACTCTCTTCAAGTTTTCTTACTTACTACCACTACCATTTTCTACTGAAGCTGCTACCTCTCTAGATGCTAATACCTAAATCGTTTTAATATTTTCTAACAAACGTTGTTTTTTAGAAAATATCTTAGGTTCTAGAGACTTTTAGATAGCCTTCAACAGTGTCACTAACTAAAGTAAGTCTAACATTTAATCTCTAATTCATAGGTCTGATCTTTTTACTTCTTCCCAGAACAAAGCAGAGTTTTTTGAAAAGAAACCTTACTCTAATTTGACCCTTGAATATAATGGCCACACTCTTCCTGGCAGTTAAACCGTTTGACTCATTGTTAAACATCAAAATCACTCTGGTTTCCAATGCTAAAGTTAATTTTCAATTAAACACTTCCACAGTTTGTGCTCCACACAAAATTTCCAACATCGTCTTAAAAAAGCGTTCTCCAGAACTCTCTTCAATTTTTGATAAACTTTTAAAAAGTGCTAAATAAGTGGTTCCAATTTTTCAAAACTCTAGAAAATACTTTGACCTCTTCAACTATCCTGCAATTAGTTTTCACTCTATATTATTATTAGTTCCTCTACAGGATTTCCGCTATTAAAACTGAGACTAAAAGTAAGGATTTTAAGGAGATTTAAGGAGATATTTTCCTAATAATTAAGGAGATTTGATCGTTAACAATAATTTTATGAAAGAAAAAGTAAGGAGAATTAAGAAGAAAACAATTACATAAATCAGAATCTTATTTTTTTCAATAAATTTTAAATATAAACAGAGAAACTAATATAAATTAATATATTAATTTATATATATATATATATATAAATATAAATGTATATATATATATATATATATATATATATATATATATATATATATATATATATATATATATATATATATATATATTATATATATATATATATATATATATATATATATATATATATATAATAAAAAGATAGGTTTGCAAAGAACTATACATTTTTTTCTTTATTAATAAATATAACAGAAGTCAACAATTTATGTTTTCTAAAATCTCTATGAAAATACAATTCTTTTGAGACACAGTTTGAAATACTTTTGAATAATATTTTTTTTGACAGTATTAAAGATTTTAACCCAAATACTAAAGATTTGAATCTTGAAAAATGGTGGTGAAAATGAGTTCCATATTTGAAATCAAAATGAGAAATGCTATCCAAAAAACAAATTGTTTGCTCTGCACCAGAAAAAAAAAATTTTTGTTGACCTGTGTGTTATCTGTTCACTTTAATAAAATTTCCTAGATGATTAAAAAAATAAATAAAAAGAAAATAAGGAAAGCAAAGTAAATGGCAGAGAATATAAAAAATGAGAATCATATTTATTTTATTATAAAAAAATGGAAGAGAACATAAAAAAAACTATTTTAGAGACAGGCTTTGATATAAAAACTTTCAAGTGATCTTAAATGAAAACAAACAAATCATATTATCTACGTCAGAAGCAAATTCAATTTCAAACAAATCAAAAATATTTTAACACTTCTCAGCGTAAATTAACATTTGTATAATTAAGTTTTAGTTATGCAAAATATTTGTACGAACATTTATCATTTTAACTTTTAAGGTTATTTAAGGACTTTTAAGGGAGGTTTTTTTTTTAAGGATATTTAAGGTTTTTAAGGAGGAGTGGGAACCTGCTTTCCCTCTGAAGGAGTGGGAACCCTGCTTTATATAAAGGTTTTGCGGTTATTAAATTATTTCTTTTTAACTGCAGTAGTAAAGTTATTCTTTAAGGCCTACACTCTTCTTTATTTCAAGTAACTTTAAGGGTACCACAAGGTTCTATCTTTGCTTCTGTATTTTTTCTTATCTACAATAACAATCTTCATGAACAATCATCATGAAATTGGTTCTATTTGCTGACAAATCAACTTTATACTCTAGCCTTAAAAAAAAATCTTCACTTTTTAATTGCTTGAAACAAACAACCGACTTTAAATCTGATTGCTCTTCAGTTACAGCCTAAGGCTTGCAGTGACTTATGGATTTAAATTCTGGACTTAAAAACCACAATTTTTGTTAGACAACAATACTCATTTATTTACTGCAAAAAAATATTGCAATATTGTTGGCATTATTGATGAATAACAACCCTCTTACTCTTAGACAAAATCTATAAGCACATTGTAATTAGGCCTGCTTTATCAGCCAAGCTTGAGCCACTCTCCCATTGTTGTAAGGTTGCATTTTTTTTTTTTTTTTTACAAATACAACCATGGTCAATGCTCAAACGAGCTATCATCTCCATAACGATAAACCAAACTACATTCTAGCTTGGCTATTTTACTTTTTAAAGAAAGACTTCTTATATTTTATTTTATTTTTTATACTTTATTTTTTAAAGTTATTTTTTAGAAATAAATAAAGTGCTTTTAAGTTACTTCAACTCACTCTATCATTATTTTTTTTTTATTTGAAGACTTAAGAGCCATTTTCTGAGAAAACCAGGTAATGTTCAAAAGTGATATCCTTCAATCATGCTTAATTTTTTTGTATAGTAATGCTATAAGGGTAAAAAAGAAACCTGTAAATTTATATGCACTAGACTGCTATTATTTTACTGTTTTTAGTTCTTGAGTTATGGTTGCCTAAACATTTTAACACTCTGAAAGTCATTATTGTAATTCTGTGATTTTTAGGCTAAACTAAAAGACAATGAGACAACAGCATCCTAAATTTCTTTTTATATTAGAAAGTATATGAAGAACTTTTGAGAAAAATCAAAATAACTGAGGAAAAAAATCAAAATAACTGAGGAAAATCCTTAGTTTACTAATCATAAGCTGAAATCACACATTTTTGATTTAGGGACCTAAATTAAATAATTTATCTCAAAACATAAAAGTTTCCAGCAAAGTATCTTATTGTTTTTGGAAATCTCATTGTAATTTTAATGACCTAAAAAAATTGATGGGAAATTGCTTACAAAATTACTCATGAATCATCAAACTGTCAAAAATATTACCTAACATTCAAAAATCAGCCATTATCAATAATGGGAAAGGTCCTAAGATTAAATGTATAGATTTTCTTTTACTTCATAATACCATTCTTTTAATTAAAAAAAACTTGGGGGTAAAACCGCATTACTGAAATAACATTACCACAAAATGATGGTATATCGGATTTTTTTATTCTTAATTTATACAATTGTAAGCATGTGAACATTTATAACCTGATGCTAATTGAAAAATATATAATTATTCAGTTGGTTTATTGAGCATATTGCTAAATACTTTTGACTTATTCAGAACAGAGTTTAAATATGGATGTTGGACCAAGCACACTGGACTGCTATTATTTTCGTCCATACAAAATTACAACAGACCAATATCAACTAGCCTTTAACTATGTTTAACAAGCATCAGGTTCAAATTTAAACAAGTACTGCCACAATCATAGATTTAGTTGAAGTTACAACTGATTATGAGCCATAAGAAATATTACTTTCCAGAGAAAAAGTTTAAAGGAGAAAAATGTTGATGTGGAGTGTTTCTATAAAGTTGTTACATCAACTGGTAACAACTTTATAGAAACACTCCACATCAATATTTTTCTAATTCTGATGAAAAAAAAAAGATATCTAACCTCAGTAACAGAAAAAATAATAATTTAAGAAGAAAATTTTAAAGACCGAGGGTACAGCTTACAAAAAGGTGAAGCCTATCCCCAGATCAGAGTAAAAATTTTATCTTAAAAGATAAACCGGATAGGTCTATGTGAACAATAAAGAACACTTACATGGATATAATAATTCCTATTGAAAAAGAAATATTGCATAATAAGTCACAAAAATTAAATTTAACTCAAACGATGTATAGTAAAAAATATTTTGTTCAGTTTTTCAAATGGTGTAACGGTAAAAATATTTTGTCCAGTTTTGACTGCAGAAATGCAGATGACGTGTGTGGTTACATGCCTTATTTGATCATGTATATTTTATTTTGTTTTAAATTAAAAATAAACTATAAACTGGAAAGAGAAACAAAAACTAAAAATAAACTGAAAACAAACTAAAAAAATAAAAATCTTATTAAATGATAAAATGAATAAAAAATAAACCAGAAAAAATAAAAACATAAAATTAATAAATATTGTTATTTTAATTTAAAAGTGTTTTACTACTACTAAAAATAGAAGTTTCAAAGTTATTCAATTAAAACTTAACTATTTTAAAACATAACTATTTAGAAATTGAAAGTTTGATATTCTAATATTTATAAAGCAAATAAAACATTTTAAAAAATATATCCGTTAGTAGGATTTGAAGCCCATGCTGATATAACAGTCGCGCCTAATAAATGGCACAATCAACATAAGCGCTACACCAACATGGTAATATAGATAAAATTATTAGCTTTAAAATTTTATTTAAGACACTTCTATATAAAAAATATTTAAGTTTTATGATTTTATTTTCTCTGGTACTTTATTTATTTTATCATTTGTTAAGTTTTTTCTCTTTCCAGTTAATGGTTTGTTTACTTTTTCTTTAAATTACTTTTTAAAACATGCTAATTATCAATACATGCAAAAAAAATGTGGCCAAATTATCAAAAAAAAAATTGTATGCATTGTTATATAAGACGTACGAGTGCGTGCATCTCCTAGAAAGGCTTGAAATGCATCATACAATTGCATTTTACAAAAAAGTTTGCAGATACAAGAATTACTCTCTATTATCAGATACTAGTTAGTGGCAAATAGTTCATGTAAATAAAATATCCTAACATAACTTTTTAGCATAAGTTTATGATATTACTGCTGCAAATTTAAATGATTTCTCTATATTGCAAAATTTCTCTTTGAAGTGCAAGAATAGAAAGTAATATGTTTGAACGCAGCAAAGAATATTATAAAACTGATTTCTACTTTAACCTAACTCTCCCACAGTGCAATATTTGATTTGATTGATTTTACCAACAAACAAAGGCAATAAATTTCATCTAATGATATGATTTTTACGAGTGTAAAAATTTAAGCAAATCCTTAGTTGAACTAAAAAGATTAGCATTAGATAATTCAGCTGACGTGGATACATTTAATGATACTAAAATTGCTGAAGATATCATTGATTATAAAAAACAATGCATGATTGTCTACTGAAAAAAATCAAACTTTTTGCTTTTAAAAAAAAATGGTTGAATTGCCAAAAAGTTTTACTATTTTGATAGTAAAACTTTTTGGCAATGGTAATTCAACCATTGAATTGAAGAAGAAATGCTGCTCACCAAGAAGAAGATGAATAGAAGAAGAAATGCTACTCACCAAGTATAAATCAATTTGAACGTAAATGAGGATAATGTAGTTATAATAATCATCAGAAAGGCGAAATGAAATTAATCATCTACAAAATGTACAAAATGCTGCTAGAAAAAAAAAATTAATTGTATCGCAAGAAGTAATACCGTTCCAGATTATAATTATTTAGGAGAGATAAACCAGATCTGTCTGCATTGTGGTGCTATAAAATTTTTCTGATGAAACACTTTTTTTATGTTGACGAAATGAGAAGATAGTTTTGTCTCCACTTTTATGATTTCCACAAGCTTTATAGGGAGTTATAAAGATCATAAGTCCAATATAAATTTTTAAAAATATATTAGAAATCATAACGCCTGTCTTTCTTTTGATTTATTTATAGCTAATGTAATTCAACCTATGAGCCATAGGCCACCATGTTTTAGAATATATTGTCAAGATATTTAATGATATCACAACTGATAAGTTTAGATTATTATAATAATATTTTTATTATTGTTTATGACTATTATTTATTAGATTATTGTCAGACTTGTCATATAAATTTCAGTTTTAAATTTAATCACTACATTATTTTTACCAATTAAATTATATTAAAACTTCATATATTTGATTATAATTACCCTAAATTAAATGATTTTATATTTTTTTATAAACTTAAATATAATTGTTTTCTTTTTGTTAGTTTTTTAGTTATTGTTTTATTAGTTTGCGTTCTGTTTAAAAATAGTATAAAATTAGTAAATTTATATATAATTTACTGTGTTCATCATTAGTCAACAGTTATGAAGAAACATTATTTGATTATTATGATCAAAATATAATCCACTCAATTTTGCATTTAATAAGCTTAAGTGTTAAACTAGATAAATATGAGTGCAGCGTTTGTAGTGCTAGGTTAATAGCTAAATTTTTTTATTTTCCTATATTTTTTATTCTCTAAATCAATTAAAATAAATATAAAATAATAGTTTTGTATCTAAAGATAATTTTTTTTTTCCAGGTATTGGCAGGCTGTGTTTGGTTTTCCTTCTCTGGTGCCTGCTGCTATTATTGATTTTAAAAGCACCTAATAACGTTATGTGGTCTTTTTATGTTGTGAAATAAAAAGCCAAGACATAAAGGTGAGCTGAACTAAAATGACTATATATATAAAATGATTATATATCATCTTTATATATAGATTAAGTTGTATTTTATTCAGTTTTTCAGATAATATATTAAGATAAATTGTTAATAATGATTTATTTATTAATAACCTGTATTACAGATTGCTTACTGCTAGCCATTGCTTATATAATGATAATGTCAAGAAAAGTTGTATATCTTTTTTTTTTTTTTTATTAGATTTTATCAGCAATAACACACACATACTCACACACGTATATTTTATTGCTTTTACCACTTAGACAATAGGCATTAAGTATCAAGTTTGAGTTTTCAATTCATTATATGAACCTTTATACAATAAACTGTAAACTTATACTCTTACTCATAACCAACTTTATTTAAGCAACTATAATTTTCTAAGGTTAACTCATTGGCAAAGTAGCTAAAGTTTTATTATTACTTGGTGAGAATATTTAATGTATCCATAATTTATGTTGTTTTTTTTTCCAATGAAAAAAAAACAACATAAATTATGGATATATTAAACATTGTTGCTGAGATTAAACCAAAAAACTGTCATTGATTATGAAAAGACATGATTTTTTCTACCCTTAATAATATTTTCTACTAGCTAGGCAGTAAAAAATATTATTAAGGGTAGAGAACAAATACTCGAAAGATTTAAGGTTAATTACCTGTAACAAGAACAGCTGTTGGAATTTCTGCAATAGGAAAAACTCTTTGTTTCTGATATGCATTTGCAAAAAAATGAAGAAGTCCATCGAAAACTTTTTGGTTCAGCTCTTGTTGTACATCCTTAAAAACAAACAAAAATAAAAATTCAAAAAAAAAAAAAAACAATCATATATGTTGGTACAAACAAATAATAAAATTGTATATTATTTCTCCAATAGAAACCTTCAGCACCTTTTTAAACATTTAAAATTTTTCTTAAAATTTGCAATGGTTCATTGTGTTTTTATTTAGCAAATCACCAATATACTTTTTCTAACTTTCTATTTTTTTCTAATAGGAATTTTATTAGAAAAAATTAGAAAGTTAGGAAAAATAATTATGGCATTAACTGACAATAAAATTCAAACATAAGATTAAAGATATAAATTAAATTTACTTTATAGAAAACTTACTTTAATCATTGCATCTAATTTATTCCAACAATTTTGATATGCTTCAAATCTCTGGTCACGCTCTGTTTGACTTTCATTCTCCAGTTTTGGGTAAAAAAATCCTATGCAACAAAAAAAGCTTTTAACTGTGATCCTAAAAAATTATTAAAAAAATGGGTACACTTTTTACCTGGTGATAACTTTCTGTTAACTATGGTTCTTTTTTTAGAATGAGAATGATTTGCCAAGACTGGTTTTTGAAGAAAACAACCCTAAACAAAAAAATTTACACTCCTTTTATAATCAAAGGTTTCTGTGCTAATTAAAATACTTCAATGATCTAAATACTTGCAGAATTTAAATACTACAATACAGGATAACATTTGACCGTATATAATTTTACATGCATAGATACATACCAGGGATACTAAGTCCTATTAATTTTAAAGGACTTCTAAATCAAAAAATGCTCCTTGGACTCTGGATTTTTTTTTTTTTAATTAACTTTTTTGAGATTTTTAACATTTAACCAGCATTTTTAAGGATGAAATCCCTGAAATGCTAGAGTAGACTATATAAAGTTTCAATTATACTGTAAAAAGTCTTAATTTATTATTGATTTCATTTTTTGGCTCAAAAAAGAACTATTCTTGTAGGCTAAAGGTATTTCTACTAATATACTTTAGAAAATTGATTTGTTAACTTCAAAATTACTTGTGAAATTAGTGGATTAGTGATGTAGTGGTAAAACCCTCGCTTTGTAAGCAAGAAGTTCTGAGTTTGATTACTGCACTCAACTTGTTTTTTCAGCTTTGTTTGTTAAGGTTCGTGTTTCAAAGTTAAAGAGCTGAAAAAGACCTGTAACCATTATGAGTAGCATCCTCAACTAAAGTGCCCCCCCCCCCCAAGCCACTTAAAAAAAAAATGCTATATACAATGTTTAAACTAAGTTTTTCAACTAAGTTTAATCATTAAATCGTATAATCATATATATATGAAATAATTTGATAATGATATTACATATTATATATAACATCAAACACACCAAATACTTTGGCACTAAGACGCTTCAAATACATATGCACTTTGTCATAAACCCAGGTTTGAATGGGTAAATATTTGTGCCTAAGCATAATTCAGCATCAAGCTTTTTGGTTTTGTACACCACATATAGCGTGAGTTGCTTCTTATATTTTTAAAAATATGGTAGCCACAAAATTTCAAAACTTAAATTCCAGGACGTTTCTAGGACATTTTGCTACGTTTTCCTACAACATTTTATATCTTATTAAATGAATATTATCAATTATGTTTGCATTATATTATTTTTATACTGATTGAATTATAGAATATTGTGTTAATATTAGAATTATATATATATATATATATATATATATATACATATATATATATATATATATATATATATATATATATATATATATATATATATATATATATATATATATATATATATATATATATATATATATATATATATATATATCCCTCGGAATTAAGGTCAGCATTTGGCAATGCCAACCTAACTGCCAAATTAAAAGTGTTTGAGGTTGACAAAAAATTGTCAACCTGGTTTCTATGTTTTATGTTAACCCTTTATTGAATAAAACATAAAAACCTCTTGATACTATGTTTTATGTTAACAATTTATTGCTGACCTCATTTTTCCTAATTCCAAGGGTTGTGTGTGTGTGTGTATGTGTGTGTATGTTTCTCTCTCTCTCTCTCTCTCTCTCTCTCTCTCTCTATATATATATATATATATATATATATATATATATATATATATATATATATATATATATATAAATATAGCATGGAAAATAACGGAAAGTCAATGGTCAATGACTGCCTGAAATAACTAAAATTGTTATTTTGACCTACCAAATGAATTCTCGCCAGTCATATTTGACCGTTTGGAAAAAAAAATAAAAGTTTTGAAAATTAAGGTTTTACATTTAACCATGTAATTTGGAAAATGCATATACTAAAATTTCATAAAACCATTTAAATTTTAAATAAGCATTTATAAGTGCTTATTTAAAATTCAAATGATTTTATGAAATTTTAGTACCAAATGAATTCTTGACAGTCATATTTGACCGTTTGAAAAAAAAAATAAAAGTTTTGAAAATTAAGGTTTTACATTTAACCATGTAATTTGGAAAATGCATATACTAAAATTTCATAAAATCATTTAAATTTTAAATAAACACTTATAATAGTTTTATTGTGTGCAAAATGCTACTTTAATTGATAAACTTATGATATAAACTACACCTTTTTTTCTTTGCTTCACTTTAAATTACTTTCATTTCACTGATGGTGTTAAAAACTTTTTTTTCATGAATGATTGAAGTTTTTATTTTATTGTTTTAATAAAAATATTTAATATATTATTTTTATAATAGTATAAAAATAAATAATAATTGCTTTATTTAACTGAGATTATTTTTTCTTTTAAATGTACTTAGTTACTATTTTTTTTCTTTCTTTAAATCTTTATATTTATTTTCTTGTAAGTTTTTGCTGAAAATATAATAACTAAATGATTAATAGGTAAATTTAAAATTTTCTTTAATAGGATTTTTAAAGATATATATGTTTAGTAAAATCTTGTTTTATGTAACATTAGTAATTTTTGTAGTAGTGTTTCATAAAACATTTGTCTTCAATTAATTAAGCATTAAGTTTAAATAATATTTGCACATGAGTGTGTATAAAGTTGTAAATAACTTTTACAGTTTTTCAAATAGCAGCAATTAAAAAAAAAATTACATATCTCTTAATTTAATCATTTCTTTTAATTTTTTATGCAGCATTTTTTTGCCAATGAGAAGCCATTGCAATGAATAAATTATTTTTAAATAAATTTAAAATTATGAACTGCAGGTTTATTTTTTTTCTTTTCCTTTCTATTATTGAATGGTAATAGAAACATCAAATGTCAACTCATCTCAATGAAATCGAATAAAGAGCCAAACAATGCTTTCATTTTTCAATAGCATTCATAAAACGATTTCTTTAAGTATTAAGTATTCAGTCTAAAATTTTTAAATATTGTATAAAATTTGTTTTTGATAAAAAAAAAATTTAGCAGTAGATTATTTAAATATTATAAAAATTCTTTTATTAATTAAAAGAAAATCTGCCATTGGAATTAGGGTCGGCATTCACCAATGCTGAGCTAACAGTATCTAAGGTTAGCAAAAAATTGCCAATATTAGAATTTTAGTTTAAATTTAAAATAAAATTAAATTAAAACAGTAAAACAAAAGTCTTATTTAAATCCATAGAAAATAATTAAAACAAAAATGTCAAACAAATATTTTAACTAAATTCTAAAGAAATATTTTTATTAAACATAATAATTAAAAAAAAAAAATCAAATACTTAATTTAAATTTTGAACAAAATTATTTTTAAAAATAACTGTTTTTACTCACAAAAAACTGTCCGATTACTGGGTAAAAGCAATTGTTTTTTTTTACTCATCCTGACCTATTATAATATAATTTAATTCTGATAAAAATATATGATTTAATTCAAAACTAATTTAATAAAAATATATAATTTTATTCTACTAATAAAAAAATATATAATTTAATTTTGACTATATTAGTTATGCTTAGCTAAGGCATTTACATTCCTAAAAATTAACCAATTTCTCAGGAAACTAGGTTTGAATCCACAGACAATTATTTCAGACTGTGCTTTTATTTAGCACCACTTCACTCTATTGTCTTTCTCTTTGCTCTACATTGCTCTCCCTCATCTCAAGAATGCACTCTTTTCTTTTTGATGTTATTTCTGGCTTGATGCTAGTGTCATTAATTTCGCAGACATTAAGGCCCACTTTTTTTGATCTCAATCTTTAATACAAATAGTATTAAAATATAACTTTCCAATTCCCTTTCCAGACAATCCAAATGATTTACCTTCTTTACTCGACTTATGTCTTGTTTCTGATCTTAGTCAATGTCAGTTTCTCAACATTCATCTTTAGGTGCTCATGCTTTGTAGTAGTTATAACTACTACAAAGCATGAGCACTCAAAGTACTCCCTAAAACTACTATCTCATTCTTTTTCATCAGCAGAATTCCCTTATCATCATACCTCTTATAAGTACTTTAAAGCTGACTGGGACTCTTTTCGTTAATGTACTTTTTAATAACTTCTTCGATTCAGTCTGGCATGGAATCTTTCATTCCCACTTGACAATTCCAAGTCAAACTTCACTTTTCTCCATGGTTTTCTTCACATTGTGCTGCTGCACTTTCCAATCGCAATCATTATTTCCATATCTATCAACAAAACAACTCTCCAGAAAACAGATATCTGTTTATTATTGCTAGAAACTATTGTAGAAAGGTTTTGTCTAACGTCAAAGCCCACGTTTTTCATGAAATCTTGTATCTCAAAAATTAGTCTTTCCTGACTTCTGGAAATATTTAACAGGATTAATAATAAGGGCAAATCTAATATTCCACCTCTTGTACGGCTCGGATTTTGTCACCTCACCTAAAGACTAACCTGAATTGTTTGCTGAAAATGTCTTATCAATATCATCTCTTGATTTCACTAGTTGCATTCTACCTGATATAGCCGACAAACAGTTTGATCTACTGTTTAACATTCGTATCACTTCAACTTCTGTATCTAAAGTGATTTCCTGCTTAGCCACCTACATATTGCGGTCCAGACAACATAAATGTTATAGTCTTGCAGAAGTGTTCTCCAGAGCTGTTGTCTATACTTTCAAAACTATATAACAAGTGCTTATCAGAGTTTTGTTTCCCAGCTTGCTGGAAAGCAGTATCTGTTATCCCTATTTTTAAAAATTCTGGAGAGCAATCTGACACATCTAACTACCATCGCATTAGCCTTCTTACTATCATATGTAAGGTTTTGAGTCTTTTGTTAAAAAACACTTAATCTCTCATCTTGTATCTAATAACTAACTTTCTAATTATAAATATGGATTTCGATCTTCTTGTTTTTCTGCAGATTTGGTAATGGTAATAAATTATAGGTTTTATCGCGCATTAGATGTGGAGAGGCTAAGGCTATTGCTCTTGACATTTCTAAAGCTTTTGATAAAGTTTAGCATGCTACTCTTCTTCATAAGCTCTCTTCTTATGGTGTATCGGGTAACATTAAGATTATTGAATCCTTTCTTACCAATCATGGTTGTCCTTGACAGACAGCACCCTTCTTCATGTCCTGGGGTTTCTCAAGGTGCTATTCATTGACGCTACACTTTTTTCAGTTTATATTAATTATCTCCCAGAAATTCTTACATCCAAGGTGACATTGTTCGATGATGATACTACCATTTATTTTTATATTGATAAAAAGTAGCTCTTAGTAGCTGGTGAACTTCAACTCAGATAAAACTCAATTTATTTTGGCTAATTGTTATTGTAACAGTCTAGATTCTCCTATATTTATGAACAGTAATGTACTCGATGAGTCATCTACCCTTTATCTTCTAGGATAAACTATTACTTCTTATCTTTCTTGGAAACCATATATCAAACAGATTGCAAAATTTGCATCTGCTAAAGGTTGCATCTCATTATCATGCTTGCCACTTTCTTACTTAAGATTCTATTCGTTATCTCTATAAATCTTAAAACTGTCCTTGTATGAAATACTCTTGCTATTATATATGATCTTCTAACAATGCCCTTTCTCTTCAAGGCAAGGTGCAAAAACACATTGTAAACATAGCTGGACCTGCTCTTACAGCCGACCTCCAACTACTACCACATCGTCGTTATCTTGCTTCTTTTTCTCTTTTCTATAAATACTATAATGAGCACTGCTCTAAAGAGCTAGCATCTCTTGTGCCATCTACTAAAATTCATTCTTGTGTTATTTATCATTCAATTAAATCTCATCCTTTTTACTGTGACTGTTTTTAAGTGCTCTAAAAATTCTTATTCGTCTAGTTTTTTTTTCCCCAAAGGAAAGAGGAAAAGGTTAGAGGAAAAAAAACTAGAGAACATTTGCTTCCTTATTCTTATTTTCCTGATTCATACAATTTGCAATCTTTTAAGTTGTCTGTTAATTGTTATCCTGCTCTAAAATCTTCATCTTTTCTTTTCCAGAAACTCTAATAATGGTTGCTTGCAGCCTTGTTGGAAGTAAAGGTGTTTAAAAAAAAAAAAAATTAAAATTAAAACAACAACATTTTAATCAAATTTTAAATTAAATACAAAAAAAAAATTTTTTTAATTCCTACTGAAATAATTAAATTAAAACTGTAAAACAAACGTTTATATAAATTCCAAATGCGAACATTTTATTTAAATTGTAAACAAAACAAATAAAATAATAAGAGAAAAAAGAAAGTTTTATTAATTAAAATAATTAAAATAAAATTGGCTTTTAAGTAATCATTGAAGTTTGAAAGAAAAGTTGGTGAACTCAGCAGTTGTTTTTCTGTCAATTTTATGCTAAACATTCAATTTGTCAAACCTTGATTGAAAATTTCGTGCCGACCTGATGTTGAACTATAACGATTTTGGGTCTGCAATTTTTTGACAACCTTATTTTTGCTATTTCTAAGGGCTGCTGTTGTTTGTAAACAGCAACTGTGAACAGTTTGTAAACAGTAATTGTAAATGTTAGTTTAATGTAACTAATGGCTAGTTAATTTCAAAATAATAAAATAATAGAAGTTAATAACAATTTGTTAGGAAACTTTTATATTCTGACACAAAAATTAAAAAAATCCCTGAATCCCAGAGTACTGAAAATTTTTAAGACTGGATAAAAACAGGGACTTCTGAACTATGACTTTTCATCCCTGTTACATACAAGCAGTATTGGTAGAACACTCACTTCTTGATCAAAAAGTTACAAGTTTCATTCCCACCATGCCTTTTGCCATATCAAACTTAAATTGTTTTTCCGAGCAATGACTTTTTTTTTTTAAACTTGTGTTTTGGAGATATAGGATTTTAATATAAAAAAAAGAGAAATCCTTCTTAACTGTAGTAGCTACCTCAGCCTTTAACTTTACTGTAGTAGATATCTCATTGAGTAGCCTTCCACTCCCTCCTCCCATTGTTGTAGCCTCCCCTTAACAGCCTTAACTGTAGTAGCCCTCTCACCCTAAATAAAGTGAAGAATAAAGCGAAGAAAAAAATATATACCATTCAAATAGATATACCTTTGATATAGAGTTTGTGGTAATGTCATCACCCATGTTTGAAATGCTCTAGGTTTTATACTTTTTTTGATTTTCTGAAAATAACAATTTATATCATTAATAATAATGTTAGTATAAATGTAATAATATTAACAATAATAATATTAATACCGTTAATATAAATAATACTGATTCCATATCTAAAAAACTTATAATTTAATAAAAATAAATGTACTAATTTTATTTTGAACTTTTTTTTTTTTTACTATATCTACTTATTTAATAATAACTAGGGGAGTATATAGAAAAATGCATTTTTTTTTTTTTTTTCAGCATTACTTATAGCAAGTGAATAAGATATTTGTCTATTAAATCAAAAAATAAGATGTTTAAGTCTTACTTTTTATTGTATAGTTATGCATATTATTATATTGCGTTTATTATATATACATATAACATTATATTGTGCAAAAAGGTTTTGTAAAACAGATCTTAAATTATATAAAAAAATAACATTTAGTGAAAACTTTTTATTTAAATGTATTTGTTAACATCCTAATGTTTGTTACAAAGAATTGTAGAAATGTCGTACAGCAGTTGCAGAACAAATAAGTTTTGTATGGAATCATTTGAAATCTCATGTCACACAGTTATATAGTTTTAATTTAAACATAATTATGTTGTAAAAACAATTGCTGTCAAAATGTTTTTTTTTTTTTTTTTATATTACTGTTGAATAGGGTGTGCCAATTTGATGACTAAAACCCAAAATTTTCACACAAAAAAATTTATAGTGAAATAATGGTAGGATTTCATAAACGAAATGGAGTAATACTTTTAAAAATAAATTAAATTAAGCGGTAGCTACGTTTTTCTGGGCTTTTATATATTCAATTTGCTAATATTTTAAAAATTGTTAAAACAATGACGTATTTCGTTTTGTATTTCTATTTAAAAATTAAACTTTGAGTGGAAGAAATTCATTTCAGACATTCAGAAATTCATTTCAGACATTAGGAGATATTTTCAAAACTTAAACGCTTAGCTTGATAACAATAAATTAAAAATAAAATTACTTGGATTATTGAAAAATTATATTTTAATAAAAATAATGGCACCAAAAATCACAAAAAATTTATCATAAATTATTGGTGGAATTGACACAATAGAATCAACAAAAACAAAACAAGTTGGAAAAAGAAAAGAAGAGTATTAGCAGCAATTAAAAATGAGAGTTAAAAAATTTAAAAAAGAAGAAAAACTCAACCAAATGATTCCAGAAGATTATAATTGTTTTGCAAAGATTAATCAAGTAATAATAAAATATGTTTGTTAGTAAATAATTCTAATATAACTATTTTTGGAGATATTAATTGTTGATATAGTGCTTTATAAAAGTATATCAATATCTATTTTTTTACTTTTTAGATTTTTTATAAACCATTAACTTAATGATAAAAATAAAAAGTTTAATTCTTGTATTAATTTTTTTTTTTTTAGATTGAAAAAACATACTAAGTTGACTCAGAACCAAATATTTCTAGACAGCCAGAACCTTCCAATAATATTGTAAAAGTTTATAACAGAATGGACATAACAAACATTGCACCTGCTAGTATGAGATATCTCACTAGCGTACGATAAACCTCAGAAAGTGACAACAGCACTTATAGATGCAAAAATTAGAAAAAGAATAATACATCGATGATTATTGATCACAGCAAGGTTAAAAGGGCGCAAGAGAAGTTAGCAATCGAATTAGATAATAAATTTAATAAAGATCTTGTGGTTTCATGTATTTTTTTTGATGGTAGGAATAATAATACAAAAGTATTAACAGAATTTGATGGTAGGTATTTCCCTGGTCTTCTTAAGGAAGAACATTTGATGAACAGAATTTGATGGTAGGTATTTCCTTGGTCTTCTAAAGGAAGAACATTATTCTGTAGTTACTGAACCAAGTCGTAGATACTTATTTCATTTTGTTCCTGATAAGACTGATCACAGAAAACATGCTGAGGTAATCGCAGACCACTTGGTTAACTAGTTGGTGGAAATAAATTTAGGTACACAACTAAAAGCTATAGGAGACAGTACAAATGTAAATACTGGTTGAGAAAGTAATTTGTAGAATAGCCATAAAGAGTAAAATTAAAAATTAAAAAAAAATGTAGCTAGCGCTAAAATTCAACAAAACTTAAAGTTATTTTTCTTATTTATATATAAAATCCTATTATTATTTTAATATAACTTTTTTGATATCAATTTTTTTTTTTAATTGACACACCCTACTGTTGAAAGACATTTCTACAACTATTGAAAACCAGACTTGAAGAAAGTTTGTGTTTTTACTATTTCAATCAAATTGAATTGTAATCTTCATTACTAAAATTTAATTTTAGTGTGACAATCTGAACTATAAATATTCATTGTGATTTGTGTAACAGTCTGCAAATAAATAAATGTAAATTGTTAAGTAATGGGGAACTCCATGAACATCCTGGGCATGCAACCATAAGTCTCAGATTTTTCTGATTTTTAAACCACTTAAAGATTTTAGTAAATTATGAACATCCTGAAAATTTTATTGTCTAATTTTACCAGTTCCTTAGATATAGCTATTTTAACTTTGCCTTTAATAAACAAAAATTTATCCTTTTTAAAAATGGTTTTGGTTCTAGTTTCTCTTAGATGTGTGTTGGAAAGTTGAAAATTTGCACCTTTACATATTTTGGGGCAAGGAACCCAACGAACTAACTTAAAATATTTAAAAACAAACATAAACCTAATATTTTTATTTTTATCACAATTTTACTGGGGCAAGTCCTACAACAAAAATGCAGATGTAGCTTGATTTTCCTTTTTCTTTAGAAATTGTCTTGAATAGTTAAGTTAAAGTTATTACAAAAAATTGGAAAAAGTACCCTTGTTTATTTCTGTTTTAAAAAATTGGTCTTTTTTAAAGCAGAAATAAAAACATTGTCAAATCTTCTACTTTCTACTTCACAAATTTCTACTTATATTTATTGCTTGAAAGACAAGTATTTTGATCAAAAGAGAAAAAAAGGTGGCAACTTGACAGTTTTGTAACTAAAACAGTTTTAGATATATCTAACTATATATAACTATATATATGCTCTTTTATATGTTGTTGACTAGTTGTTTCTGTTTTCTTTGTAATTTTATAAAATCTGATCCTAAAAAATTATAGTTTCAAAAGGGGAGAATTATATTAATGCAGATGTATATCTCAAATGTAGCTTTTTTTCCCAGAAGTTGTACTAAATAGTTTAGTTGGAGTTATTACAAAGAGTCAGATTGTGGTCTATACTAAAACAGAAATAAAAACATCCTAAAATATACTTAAATTTATGCTTATAAAACATAAGTTTCATATTTATCAAACAAATAAACTTAAAAAACAATTAAGACTCAAAGACAAAGAGAGCACTTGGAAAGAAGTTCAAAAAACAAAAGTAATATAAAAAATTTAATAATTAAAAACTTAAATTTATTAATTATAGTGTTGCAATCATTCACATCAATGTCATATGTTAAGCCGCCTGATTTTGCTGTTGGGGCATTGATTACTGCAATCAAACTCGAAAATAGTACCCAACAGATATCATCTCTATGTAGCCAAATAAAATTTTGAGAACAACTGTGTGCTTAAACTTAATTTGAATATCATTTGTAGTAATATCTATCTCAGTAACCATGCCTATCCACCAAAAGGAATTGTAACTACACGCAACAAAATCATTTAGATTTGATGCAATTGCAAAACAGACATGGCTGCTTTAGACAGTATAAATCTGTCTACACATTGATGCTTATTTGTTCTTTAAAAACTAATTTCCAAATTTAAAATGGGTATGCAATAGTGGTAACTGTCGGTCCTTAGAACAGTTTTTGCCTGTTTCAAATTGCTCCTTTAGTTGCTGTCACCTTGCTTTTACTGTTTCTTTGGTAATTTTATAAAATATGATTGTGTTTATATTGATGATGCAAAACTCAAGCATATCATCAACTGTCAATATTTGGTTTTCCAATGGTTTTTGTAAACTTGCTCTTGCTGTTCTTCATATAATGGTACCACCTATGCAATCACAAGTGAATTTTCCATGCCTAGTTGCAAAAAGTACCCATTCAGTTATCTCGAAATCTTCCTTTTATAATTTTTATAATGAGCAGAACATCCATCAGATAAATGATAACTTTTATTGATATCCACTAAATATTCTTTAATGTACTCTACAATTTTCTTTTGAAATTCATACACAAAGCTTGCATCATGATCATTGTCATCACTTAAAAAAACAGAGCAACTTATGCTGATATTTGTTTCATAAATTTCTGTAAATTCATTAGCAAAGCTTGCATCATGATCATTGTCATCACTTAAAAAAACAGAGCAACTTATGCGGAATATTTGTTTCAAAAATTTCTGTAAATTCATTAACAAAGCTTGCATCATGATCATTGTCATCACTTAAAAAAACAGAACAACTTATGCTGAATATTTGTTTCAAAAATCTCTGTAAATTCATTAACAAAGCTTGCATCATAATCATTGCCATCACTTAAAAAAACAGAACAACTTATGCTGAATATTTGTTTCAAAAATTTCTGTAAAATATGAAGTACAAAGTTACCATCGGAATAAACAACTGAATGTAATGTACATTGTTGTTTATTCCGATGGTAACTTTGTATTTCATCCTGCATTACAAATTGATAGTTCTCTGCAAAATCTGCTAGTATAATACATTCACCTAAACTAATTTTTAGCTCTTTCAAGTAGCGAGTTTGGCATTTAGCAATATATGAATGTGAAGTTAGTTGATTAATGCGAGAAAGAACAAGTTCTTTGTATTCAAATTAGTTTACTGTCTGAGTAATTAATTGTGATCTATTAGTACTTTTCAATTGATTAAATTGAATTTCTTCTTCATCAATCTCACTTAATTTCTCATCTAAAAATGCCTTTAAGTTATCATAAACCGGACATTTAGCACATCTATGAACCATGCATTTATTATTGTTTATATTGCATGCTAATATTGACATTAAATCTTTGTATCTAACATTCCATTGGATAGCATTTACAATAATGAGCTTTGATAGTGAATACATACACAGTTTTGATAGTGGAAACATACACAATGTGTACCCACACTAATAGACCATTTTGGACGCAAACTACAAAACTTTGAAAATCTTATTTTGAAATTAAGGTATTTAATTTTAAAATCTTAGTTCATGAAGGTTGTATAACAATAATCATTTTTGTTGTATAGTACGACCTTTGTAGAGGACGACCTTTGTAGAGTACCACCTTTAACTGTAACAATATCTTTTTTACCAGGCATAATTCTAGAAAAAATTCTTGAATCAAAGCTGTAAGAAAGTCAGGTATATTTTGGCCTATTTTATTATCAGAAACTTTTATGTATTCTAAAGCATTTTTCTAGATCAAGATTCAGGGGTAAGATTTAATATTTGAATTTTCAGCTGAAATGGTTCAGCTTTAAGTTTTTCTTTCATAAAAGTTATCAAATGATCAAGATCATTTGCTTTTTTTTTATCTGTAGAATGACTAAAAAAGTTGAGGCTTCACTAAAATTTTCTATATTTACTCCATAAACACATGCTATTTCTTCTATTTTTGTGACTGAATACAAGCAACAAAATTTCCATCCTGGTTTACAGTCTAGATTTTTGGATTTAAGGTTACATGCCGTTTCAAGAGAAATGGTTGTTTGACCTAAAATAAATTCATTAATTTTTAATAAACATGCTCTGTTTCTAAACTTAAAAACTAGACAATATATATATATATATATTTTATATATATATATATATATATATATATATATATATATATATATATATATATATATATATATATATATATATATATATATATTACCTAATATATATATATATATACCTAATATATATAGATATATATATATTAGGTATATATATATATATATATATATATATATATATATATATATATATATATATATATATATATATATATATATATATATATATATATACCTAATATATATATATATATATATATATATATATATATATATATATATATATATAATATATATATATATATATATTAGGTAATATATATATATATATATATATATATATATATATATATATATATATATATATATATATATAATTATATATATATATATATATATATATATATATATATATATATTACCTAATATATATATATATATATATATATATATATATATATATATATATATATATATATATATATATATATATATATATATTACCTAATATATATATATATATATATATATATATATATATATATATATATATATATACCTAATATATATATATATATATATATTATATATATATATATATATATATATATATATATATATATATATATATATATATATATATATATATATATACTATATATATATATATATATATATATTACCTTTAACCTTCTTTTTGTGCCTTTTTAAAACATCACAACACTTATCACTTATCACTTTACTTTAAAAATATTGATCCTAAAACCTGCTCATGATGATAAGAAATAGTCTGTATGATGTAGTCTCAAGCAAGCCAGACCTCCAAATATCTTAAAAATCCTTATCTAGATTACAAAAATCTTTTAACCCTTGTTTTCCTATAAAACATATTTTGCGACAGTCATCATTTAAAGCTTTTCTATATCCACAAGATTTCTTTTTATCATTATACTATTATTTATTATCCCTAAAAAAGATGTAAGAAAATTGTATAATTCATTGTGTGCATGTGGTCAAGGTTTTTTAGGATTTTACAAAATTTTACATCATTAATGAACATTTTAACTTTAATTTTACAACATAAACATTTCTAATATATATTCTAATATAAAACAATAAAACTACTAAAGAAACAGCAAGTCAACAACAACTAAAACAATAGTTTGATATAGCCAAAACTGTTTCAGTTACGAAACTGTTAAGTTACCACCTTTTTCTCTCTTTTGATTTATTAAAATACCTGTTTTTTAAGCAATAAATTTAAGTAGACTTCACCATGTTTTTATTTCTGTTTTAGAAAAGGCCACTCTTCAATTCATTGTAATAACTATAACTTAACTAATCAAGATAACTTCTAAAGGGAAAAAAAAATGAGCTGTATCTGCATTTTTGTTCATTTTTAAATATTTTGAGTTGTTTTACTTGATTCCTTACCTCAAAATTTGTAAAGTTCCAAATTTTAATATTTCAAAACATATTTAACAGAAACCAGGACCAAAACTATTTTTAAAAATGGTAAATTTTTGTTGATTGGAAGCAAACTTAAAATAGCTATACCTTAGGAACCAATTGAAATTAGACAATAAAATTGCCAGGATGTTATTAACTTACTAAAATCTTTGAGTGGTTTACAAATCAGCAAAATCTGAAACTTAAGGTTGCATATTTTCAAAAATGATTGAATGTTTTTGCATGGAATTGCCCTAATGCAATATTATAACTGCAAATAATTCCATTAATAAACGTAAAAATTAAAAATAAAAAGGGGGAAAATTAAGTAAAAATAGGAAAATAAAATGTTCTGTAGAACATATTTTGCTTTAAATTGATTTTTCAGAACATAATTAAAGCACTTAAACTTTTCTTTTAGTGCATATCTTTAGTTCTCCTAATAATAACTTAATTACATTTTTAATAAAATATTAAAAAGGATTTAAAATAAAATATAAAACTTTATAAAACTATATTATAACCAAATATTTGCTAATGTGGAAGTTTATTTTACTTGTGTTTTTTTTAACTTATTTTAATCAAGTTTAAAAATGCATCTAAGCATAATAAAAAAAAATTATTTAAATTATGAAAACTTTTAAATCTTAATTTTACATAATATTCCAATGTACAGTGAAATATTTGGTGGTTAGGTTTGATGCATTTTGCAAATAAATTTTTTTTATAATAAAACAGCTGGTTTACAGCAATATTTGTAACATAAATAAACATTGTTATTGAAAAAAAAAAATTAAATTTAGATTATAATATATTTTGTATATATTATAATACATAATATAATAAATATGTTAATTATAATGTTCTGAATTTTTTTAATTATATTTCAAAACAATAATTTAAATTGAAAAAATATGAAAAATTGATATGTTCAAAATCATAAAATAATATTAAATTTGTTTTTCAATTCTGTTTAAAAAAAAAGCAAATGAGCAAACCCTGGTTGCACAAACTATAATAAACAAATTTTATTTTTATATATAAAACAAAACACAACAGTTCCAGTTTGGTTTCACAACCAAAGTGAAACTGTACAAATAAAAAAAAAAATAAACAGCTTTTATTTTCATTTGTAAAGTAAAATTAAATCAATGTTAACAAACAATATTAGAAATAATTATTTCAAGTTTTTTAAGTTGAACAAAAAAATTCAATTTAATAAAAATAAACTTTGAAAAACAATGTTTGCTACAATGCAAAAAATGTTGTAAAACAAAATGTTTAAAAATAATAATTTCCAAAAAGTACAATTGCAAATTAAATCATTTAAAATTTATTTTTTGAAAAGGTTTAATAATCAATAAAAATAATGAATGGAAGAAAAGAATATTTTTAAGAAAATAAAAAAAAAAAAAAAGACATAAAAATAATTTGCTAACTATCACCGCAAGGGGTGCTTCAAACACAAGCTGTGACAACAGTTTTTCATTTATTCATAAGCTTGCAGTGTGAACAGAAAATAACAGCATGTGTCTATTAACCTAACACAGGTTCTGCATTTTTTCAAACAAACTACTAAGTTACCTTAAAACTCAAAACAACATATCTTTCTTTAATGACATTAAAATTATAAAAATAAATTATACTACTAATTAGTGTAATTAATTAGTGTAAAAAATTAATAAATAACTTTTTTATATTTATTATTATTATGATTTTTTTGTTATTATAACTAAAACAAAATTTTTAATAATATTTAATTTTCAATAGATGATTACAGAAGTTGTTATTGTGCTTTTCTACTGTATATTTTCTTGCGACTCAAAGAAGACTACAATAGGTCAGATTTAAATATTATAAATTTTTTTATAAACAAGTATAAATAAAACTTTAGACAGTAACACCAGCCACCTCCACATTCACACCCACTTCTTAGTGGTGGGAAAAAATAATATGATATAAACTAAAGTAAATTATTGATAATATAAATAAAAGAATTCAGTTAAAAAATATATAAATTTTTTATAACAAATAATTGTTTACTAAAGTTAAGAGTATTAAATCTGCAAGAAAATGGGTTATTGAATCCTCTTTTTTTCTCACCTTGTAAAGAACCATAGCTTGTGCCAATGAAAACTAAAGATGAGTCTGTTACAACCTAACAGACTCATTTTTTGGATTTTGTTTTAAATTTGGAATTAGAATACAAAAAAAATATAGAAATTTCTTGTGCTGAATTCAAAAACAAAAGTTTTTTTATTTCAAAAAGTAGATTTTGGGAAAAATAATTCTTAGTAAATACTTTATTTGATTTTAAAATATTCTAATTTATAGTGAAAAGAGAAGAATTCCTTCAATATGATGCACCAAACTTTGGTAATAACATGGAATTCCCAAATCAAATCGAAGGTGTACATGCAAGAACACATTTTGAAGCAAAAACAAATATTCCTATGGAACCAAGTCAAGAATTAATAAACGAGGATGATCAAAGCAATGAAATTCCGATTGGTCCATTAGAATCTCTTGAAGGGCCTAAAGTAGAAGGAAATGTCAGATTGAAAGATTTATTAACATTTAGTAAGATTTATAAAAATTGTTATTTTATAATAAATTACCTTATAAATTAATTTATTAATTATAATTAAAATTAATTAAAATTATAATTAAAATTAATTTATTAATTATAATTAAAATTAATTTTTTAACATTATTGTTGATGTCAAACTGAAATAGGAATCTGTGAAGAGCAGGGGGAGGAAACCCTTTGCAAACAGTCATACTAAAAAGGGGGAAGTATTAATATCTGAAAGTGTGGGTGTGTGGGTAGCTTATATGTATAAAAGAGATCCATTAAAGCATATTTACTATTGTGTACATGCTAGTAATATATTCTACAAATTTTAGTTTTTGAAATAATTCAGACACTTTTTTTAAAAAAATGTTATGAAATAAGATAATAACTTTTTTCAATAATAAATCTCCTTTATATATTAATTATTTGAATCTCTGGACTATTAGTCTATATATTTAATGAAGCCCTACCTCCAACACCCATATGTTTTTAGTACAGTGGATGTCAACATGTGTGTGTCAGTGTAAATTTTTAAAACAAAAGAATAATAAAATAATAAAAACAACAACAATAAAATAAAAGTAATTTTTTTGTTTAAAATAACATGTAGTACGAAAAACCAACATACCAGAAAATCCTTATGAAACTCTTCCACAGCAAATACAAGATCAAAACAAGTATAATACAGATTTAGACAACAGCCAACCACAGAATTTACTTGAAATGCTTGCAAAAAAAAACTTTATTACTCAAGAAAAACAATGGCCTGCTAGTGGAAGATTTCAGAATATCCCAACATATTTTCAAAACGGCATCGGTAACATATTTTGATCTCCTTTTTTTTTATTAGCCTTCTGTAGTTATACTTTCTTCTTTAGTTATAACTGTGCATTTAACTATATTTATAAAAATTTATTTCAATTTAACAGTAACTACAATTTATTCATTAAATGTATTGCATTAATTGAATAAATCGCATTATTTAAGCACCTGTTAAAAAAGAAGAAATACCCCACACAAAAGAAATGAAAGAATCACTTAAAGAAGTTATTGTGAACAAAAAAGGTCTGGCTTTAATTATATCACAAGCATGTTATAAAAAATAATTTTGGTCTATTTCAAGTTAAATTCAATTTAAAATTTAATTTATTCTAAGCATATTTTAGTAATATTATTATCAATATATTATTATAAATATAAAAAAATTTACTATAACATAATAAGTACAAACAATGTAAAAAACAAAAAACTAAAATAAAAAAAAGTAGAAATACAAAAATATAAACAATTTTTTACAATAATACAAAAAATAATTAAATATAGAAAATAAAAACAAGATTAAAAAATAAGTTACCATTATAATAATTACCTATTATCATTATAATAATTAAATTTTCAAACAAACCAGAATTAATGACATTTATTGTATAAATACCAATTATACCAACTGAGTTTTCTTCAGAATTAATGACATTGTACCAACTGAGTTTTCTTCAAAATAGCTTGCTAATTAAATTTACAAATATATCATTTAAAAATATTAAAACACAATCAATAAATATTTTTGTATTACTCGGCTAAAGCAGCTTTTATACAACTTATAGTTTGTACAAAATGATTGTTTTTAGATGCCATGGAAGAATCAGAAGATTCAGAAATGAAAGATAGTTATGAAGCTATTTATGGACGTAAGTTAAGCTCACTTAGCACCATTATAATGTTAAAAAGTGTTATGCATAAACTTTAAAGAACTTAACTGAATGATAATATGATATAAATCCAAGATAAGATAAAACAATTTATATTTAATATAGGATCAAAAAATGCACCATACTATGGAGCTCAGATGGTAAAGAAATCTGCTGTTCCAAAATTAAGGAATGAAGAGGAATTTAGACCATTCAGAAAAGGTGATATAATTAATTATATATTTATATATATATATATATATATATATATATATATATATACATATATATATATATATATATATATATATATATATATATATATATATATATATATATATATATATATATATATATATATATATGTATATGTATATGTATATATATATATATATATATATATATATATACATATATATATATATATATATATATATATATATATATATATATATATATATATATATATATATATATATATATATATATATATATATATATATATATATATATATACATGTATTTATGTGTGTTTTCTTAAAAAGTTAAATAAATTAAATATTAATAAATTAAAACTCAATTTAATAACAAGTTTTTCCATTTTCAACTTGTTTTCAACTTAAAGTGATGCTAAAGCCAATTTATATATTATATTAAAGTGATGCTAAAGCCAATTTGGCTTTAGCATCACTTAAGCGTTTTCAACATAAGTGATGCTAAAGCCAATTTAGTGTAAGTGTTTCAGCAATAACAACAATGTAACAATATATAACAACAACAATATAAACTGCCTGGGTGAGAGATTAAGAGATAGGACTTGGTCAATTTGATCAGAAATAACATCAAAAAGAATATTTTCAATAGTGAATGAAAAAAAAACTACTCATTAACAAACAAGATCTGAGATATTAAAGTTAGAATGTATTTAAGATTAATTAAAAACTTGATTAAAAAATTACATAACCACTTTTTTAATTAAAGTTGTTTTGCAATACAAAAGGATTTACATTTACATTGTTTTTGTTTTTTAATTGATATGCATTCATTACAAAGTATGACATTTTGAAAAATTTTACAAACAAATGATCAGTTATACTTTTTATAAATATATTTTATTAGTACTTTTTTTAGTTCTGTTATTGTGCTTTACCTTTTTGAAACATGGTTTTAATGATGTAAATTTTTATGATTTACTTTATGATTTAATTTAAGATTAATTAAAAACTTAAATAAAAAATTACATAACCACTTTTTTTATAAAAGTTTTTTGTCAATATAACAGGATATCTACTATAGCATATATACATATATATATACATATATATATATACATATATATATATATATATATATATATATATATATATATATATATATATATATATATATATATATATATATATATATATATATATATATATATATTATAGCATAAAAAAGCTGTATCGACTGTGAGTCAGACTATTTGTCAGTTGTATCCACTACAAGTCAGGCTACTTGTCAGTCGATGTATGTACTGAAGCCCCCGGCAGCAGGCTATTTTAGTATGACGTCACACTGCTCACTTAACTCAGCAGTATTATATATATATATACATACATATACATACATATATATATATATATATATATATATATATATATATATATATAAATATATATATATATATATATATATATATATATATATATATATATATATATATGTATATATATATATATATATATATATATATATATATATTTGTCAGTCGTATCCACTACAAGTCAGGCTATTTGTCAGTCGATGTATGTATTGAAGCCCCCGGCAGCAGGCTATTTTAGTATGACGCCACACTGCTCACTTAACTCAGCAGTATTATATATATATATATATACATATATATATATATATATATATATATATATATATATATATATATATATATATATTATATATATACAGTATTATATATATATACAGTATTATATATATATACAGTATTATATAAATATATATATATATATATATATATATATATATATATATATATATATATATATATATATATATATATATATATATATATATATATATATATATATATATATATATATATATATATATATATATATATATGTTTGACAAGATAAAGTAAAAAATAACTACATAATGTTTACTGCTAAAAGTTTTATGCGTTGGTAATCATCAGGTAAAAAATGCATTATGTTATTTCATTAAAAAATATTTTCAAATTATACACACAAAAAAAAACATGCAAAAACCAGAGGTGAAAAAGTAAAAAAAAATTGTACTCAAGTAAAAGTACTGTTACTTGAGTGAAATTCTACTCAAGTACAAGTTAAAGTTACGGGTCGAAAAGTTTACTCATGTAAAAGTAAAAGTAGCTTATTAAAAATGTACTCAGAGTAAAAGTTACTGAGTTACTTTTTGAGTAACAAAGCTGTCAAATTAAAAAACAAAAATCACGTAGTCTATTCTTTTCTGTACAAAAAAATTTTTTTTTGCACAGAAAGTTTTTATAAAGGTCATAAAAAGTAAAAAGAAACCAAGCTAAAGCAGTTAAAACTTGTTATGAGCGCGCTCAACATTTTTTTCTAAACAATTTAAAAGTGTCACTTTTATTAAAGTGAGCAAAACTCAAAAAAACAAAAAATTAAAATCATAGTATTTGTGAAATTAAATAATACATAATTTTTTTTACTCAGTAACGCATATGATTTCAAATGTAATGAAGTACAATACTTTAGAAAAAAAGTTTAGTAAAAGTTAAGTAAAAGTAAGAGTATCCATTTAAAAAAATACTCAAAAAGTAGACATTCTCAAAATAACTACTCAATTACAGTAACTCGAGTAATTGTAATTCGTTACTTTCCACCTCTGGCAGAAACAATTACAAAACCTTTTATTGTTCGCAACTGTGCTTACAAACCAACCTACTTGTAGTCAACTTTTTAGATGTATCATTCAACCTAAAAAAAAAATCTGTTCCAACCTTTTAAAAAACCAAATGTTACATCGACACTGATTCCAACCACCCTCCTCAAACCCTTAACCATATCCTAATCTCGATTAGCAACAGATTATCACAAAACTCTTCAAATGAAAACACGTTTATCCTATCTATACCAAAATATGAAGAGGAACTAAGAAGAAAAGACTTCACTGATTTTTCTTTAAGATATAATCCTAAAAAAAAGGACAAACGCTAAATTTAGTCAACAAACATTTTCCAATATCCCATCCTCTAAATAAGTTATTCAATCAAAATTATAAAGTGAGTAATTAATAATAATAATAATTAATAATTTAAAAATTTTAAAAATTAATAAAAAGAGTTAAAGCTAAACCAAAAATATTGACAAAATAATAAAAAACCAATAAAACAAAAAAATTGTATCTAAAAAATCAGATTAACACCCACCATGCAACTGCATAAACAAACACAACTACCCAATGAAAGGAAAATATAAAATCTCAAATGTTATTTATAAATTTATAGAATCACCCCTTAACATTCCAGAAAAAGTGTAGATTGGTTTATCAGAAGGAGAATGGAAGAAACAATGGGCTATCCACAAACACTCCTTCACAAATAGAAAACTGAAAAATTTAACCACCCTTTCCAAATACATATGGCAAATAAAAGAAAACCTCAAAGTAACACCCAACTTAACTTAATTGGTCAATAATTAAAAAAGATCCCGCTTACAATAACATCACAAAAAAATGCCTCTACAAAAAAACTAAAATAATTTCATAAAAAGGTAACCCAGAATTGCTAAACAAAATATTTGAAATAATATCAAAATGTCATCATGAAAACAAGTTTTTACTTGACAACTTTAAGTCGAAAAATTCGGAAAACCGAAGAATTGAATCACGTTTACGAACAAGACATTGTAATTGTTTCTGCAAGTTTTTTTGTGTAAAAATTAAAAAAAAAAAAAAAATTTTAATGAAATAACATATTGCATTTTTTACATGATGATTGTTAACGGTGAAACTTAGTAGTAAACATGTAGTTATACTTTATCTTGTCAAAAAAATTACGGGAAATTGCAAATGTCAGTACAGTAGTTAAGACATTTGAGACTTCCTGTAATTTAATTTTTGGTATAAATTCAAGTTTTATTAATTTGATCATTCATTTCTGAAGAGTCTTTATTGATGAAACACAGTGTTAAATAAAAAAAAATTTGTTAAGTGATTTTCTACTAATATATATATATATACACACACAAAATTTAGATAAGTCAAATGAAGAATCAGATAGCATAAACTTAGTAACAAGAGAAACAAAATCGACAGATATTCTACAAAACAGTTCATTGTCAAACTATGGTCAACTTGTAATTTCTGAAATTATGGCACCACTAAATCTATCAGGAACTGCAAATACTACAGCTCAAATAATAAATAGCACACTTAAAAATATTCCTGAGGTATCAACAGAAAATGTATTTCTACTAAATAATACAAATGTGTTAAGTAACACAAGTACCAATGCAACTTTAAATAATATAACTCCATTAAACATTGGAAATTTAAATGTAATACCTCCACTAAACAATGCTTTATATAATACAACAATCAAAGAACAAACCGGTTTAACATCACATATACAAGAATTGAAAAAACCTTTAACATCTACATATGTAACTGAAAACACGGCAATAACCACAAACATTGCAAATGCAGGCTATACAAATATTTTGCAATATGAAACAAACAAAATACCTTTCCAATACAATAATAAAAAAATAACAAGCGATAATCAAATAAATAAAATTTCAAAAATTGAAACTATATCAGATCCGTATGAAAACTTCAGAAGAACTGTGATTAAACCAAGTAACCAAATTACTGCCTTAAACAATCAAGCAACAACTGCAATAAGCCAAATAGCCACCACAAGTAATCAAGAATCTACTCCAACATGTAAGTAAATAAAATTTTATTTTTGAGACATAAAATATATAAAAAAAAACAACAATATTATTCTCATAACAGCGTGCCCCAAAATCAAACCATTCAAATCAAGTTCAAACCAATAGAAATATTTCAAAATTAGATTATATATTATTTTAAATCTATTAAAACTGAAGCAAAAAAATTCTAACCTTCATGAGTTTTAGAGAAAATATAAAATAATAGCTCATAATTTAAATTTAGAATAACACAACATAGCATAAATGTACCAATAATAAATAAACAAATATAAACTTAAAAATAAAAAATAAAACTTAAAATAAGGTTGCAATTTATTGAATGCAAATTTGCTTTAAGTTAAAAACAATTACCAATATTATTGATTTTTTGTCAACACCTATTTGTTGCATTTACAAAATCAGCTAGTTTATATATTTATACATCGTTAAATTAACATTTTTGTTTTAGTATCCTTGTTTGCACACTTGCACGAACTTAAAATAAAATATTTATGTTATAATATACTCATTTTTAATTTATCTATTTATCTGATTTTTGATTTAAATTTTTGATATAAAAAATGCAACAAAACTTATTAATTATGTAATTGCAAATAAAAAAATCTACATTTCATGATTTAGACCAAGATGGACACAATATTCAGAATGGCCAATATCAAATTTTAGGTAACCGTGGTTTTGTAATGAAATACGAAGAAAGACCCATTGAAAGTAAGACCATCTTTATTATTTGATATATTATAAAACTTTAATTGAAATCTCAAAAAAACAAACAACAAATATCCAAATATTTATGTTGTTTATATTTTTCAAAATTTAATTTTTTGAAAATAAATTTACATTTACATTTAAGCAAATTTTTTCTTGTAAGCAAAAAACATATTCTTCTGTTTTGATTATAGAGATTTTTATTTTGCAAAAACAATACGATAATTAAATGTTTTTTATAAATATAAACAAACACCTTCCAGTATTAATGGAAATGTATTAAATAACATGAATTATTTAAAGGCTTAGTTATAAATGCAAAAATTTAACTAAGTGTTTGCTCATACTACATGTTTTTGGAATATGTTATTTTGGGGTAGTGATAGAGGGCTTGCTTCATAAGCAAGAATTTATAAGTTCGATCCCCACTATGTAATGCAGCATTCAACATGCTTCTCTGAGCAGAGCCCTTATTTGTCAAGGTTCGTGTTTTGGAGTTCTAGAGTTGAGAGAGGAATGTAACCACAATAAAAGTAGTCTCCTCAACTGTAGTGACCTTCTTGACTTTGGGGAGGTGAATTAACATTTTAAAAAAAAAAAAAAAATATATATATATATATATATATATATATATATATATATATATATATATATATATAATAAATGGATTAATGGATTTTATATAATTCAATACTTCATATTTTCATAGTATTTATAATATGGGTTGTCCTTGCAATAAAAAAAATAAGTAATGGAGAAAAAAGAATTTACTATTTTCTAAGACTATTATTTCTTCTATTATATTACTTCTATTTCTATAAGTATACCAACTGCCCATAAACTGGCTCCCCAGCATTGGAATTGCACTCAGATATATACAGTTGAAAAAATCCCACAAATTTTTGAAATTTTAACCAACTAAACTTGTTGTAGCTTGTTCTCATCATGTGAAACTGCATTAAACCATGTAATTTCACAATACACCTAATCTTCACCTGGTTTTTTCTATGCCATGAGAGAAGATCTATTACTAATTTTTAATATTTTATGTTTAAGAGGTTTTAAGGTCAGTAAACTGTCTGCCGAGCTCTGAGAAAAACTCCGAGCTGCTATATGTACACCCCACTGTGCTTATACCTATATAGTTAGTTTATGTTTATACATTCTACTGTGCCTATCCCTAGATAACTAGTGTAACCTTGTTTCTTTTTCCTTTAGAAGTTTACTTGCTTTTAGGAGTTTATGAACAATAACTTTAGTTAAGTTGTTGTGAACAATAAGTGTGCCTTTGTTTTAGTTGCAAACAACAAACTAAATTTTTATTTTATAAGTTAAGTTTTATTGTTAGGTTTTAGCAAGTTTTTTGATAAGTTAAGTTTTATTGTTAACTTATCATTTTTTAATTGTATTAATTTTAAACAATTGAAATGCCTACCTTTTCCAATGTATGTGAAGAGGAAATAAACATGTTTTTAAAGTTCTTATGAAAAAATAGGTTGATTTGGACTTCTAACAGCTCATTAGTAAATAACTTATATACTTAATATTATATAAACAACAGTGAAAAAAAAAAAAACGCATCTAAAAAATGAAGAATAATTATTTCACTATAAACTCAAATGCTGGATTTCTTATTTGTGCCCTAGAACTAGTCTCTTTCTTTCAAATACCTTTCTTTATATTGGACATCTGTCTATTATGCATCTCTATATATCTATAAATTAATACTTACTCTAACATTCATGTATTTCAAATAAATTATTAGACATTGTTGTTTTAATTGTAAAAAATCTTAAAAAAGGACTTGATAAAGAAGCTCAAAAATGTTCAATTTTTTTTAACTGGAAGTGTTTTTAAGAGTTCCTAAAACACCAGATTTTTTTTCCTAAAAACTGTTTTTTTTCAAGAAATGAAGTTTTATTGATATCACTTTTATACGAAAAGAAAACTTTCTTTTGGTATTTTGTTGTTGTTTTTTTTTATTGTTTCTTTGTTATTTTCTGGTTATTTTGGCAGCCTATTTAGACCTTAGACATTCAGAAAAGCCTGAAAGCTTTTTTTTAACACCCAAACAAATTTTAACTTTTTCATTATTCTTCTTTCTTTTCTTAATTGTCTGAAAAAACTCTCTATATTGAAGTCTGCATTTTCAAACACAAAAGTGCACATTTAAATGCACTAAAATAAATGTGTGTATAATACATTTGAAATAAATTCAAATCACACTCCAGAACATATTAAAAATATATATAAAAAAAAAAAAAAGATTGCATTATACCTTTGTGTATTTACTTAATAAAATGCATTAACACTATCAGTAAGCAAACCTAAATAAACCATGTTGTGTATTATGTTAAATATGCATATGTTAAATAAAATAATACAATAATAAATATCTGATAAATATTTATAACTGTTAAAACCAAATATTAGAAGAAAGATTAAGTTATTAAAATCAGGATCTTAACATAAACTTCTATGAAAAATTAAATTTAAAAAAAAAAAAAAAGTTTAAACAAAAAAGTAACTTTATTCAATTAAGATTAAAAAAAAAAAGAGCAAGAAAGAAAAAATCAGTAAAAAAGAGAAGAAAAGGAATAAAAATAAATAATAAGATTAAATAAAAAGAAAAAATATTATAGGAAAATAAATGGCAAAAAACAAGAGAAACATTTATTTTGAATTGAAAATAGATGTTATTTAAATTTTGAGAGCTCATTCAAATGTTTTTAGAGCTTTGAGCCTGAAGTGTTTATAATAACATCTTTAAAAGCAGCTACAACATAATTTAGATTAGATTCGTTAATTGAACAAACATTAATTCGACCCGAAGCAAGCATATGAATGTGATATTGTTCTCTTAACAAAGAAACTTGATCTGGCTTTAAACCCGTGTAAGTAAACATTCCACACTGTTGAATGACATGTGACCAGTCTCCAGGCACTTCTAGTTCCTTTAATTTTTGAAAAAGAAGTTGTCTGCATGATAGAATTCTGTTGGTCATTGATTTTAGTTGATCCAACCTTAAAATAAATTAGAAAACAACTTGGTATCTTTAAAACTCTAAGCAAAGTTTAAAATGAGGTGAAATTTAACTTACCATTCCCTTTTTAGCACTGGATTATTAAGAATAGTTGCAACAACTTTTGCACCATGATTTGGTGGATTAGAATACATAGCTCTAATAATCTTAAGAAGATGGCTTTCAACGTGCATTGCAATAGTGCTATTTTTGCAAACAACTGCTAAATTTCCACAGCGTTCATTGTACAATCCAAAATTTTTTGCAAATGACTGACATATAAAAACTTCTAATCCACGACTAACAAAATAACGAACGGCCCATGCATCTGTATCAGGACAACCTGATACAAACCCCTGATAAGCCATATCAAAAACAACAACAAGGTTATTTTCTTGAACTATGTCAGCTGCTAACTTCCATTCCTCTTGTGTAAGATCAACACCACATGGATTTTGAGCACAAGCGTGTAATAAAATAACTGATCCTGGAGGAGCAGATTTTAAATCATTCGTAAAACCATTTAAATCTAATCCTTTAGTCTCAGAACAGAAGTACTTGTATTCATGAATATCTGTATACCCAACAAATTTAAGTATTTCTCTATGATTTTCCCATGTGGGTTTTGGAATAAACACTGTGTGGTTATCATAATGCTGAAATAAAAAATCAAATGCTAACCGCAAAGCTCCAGTTCCTGATAACGATTGCACAGCAGCTATTCGATTTTCAGTTATAATAGAGCTTTCATCACCTTAAAAAAATTCATATTATACATTTTTATCATATAAAAATTTATAAAAATTTAAACTATTTACTATTAATTTATTTATATTAAAACTCAAAACTTTTTTTTTTTTTTAAATTTATACATCATTAATTTAATTTTGTTAATTTTTTTTCATTTATTAAAACATAATTAAACTTAGTTAAAAGCTTACCAAGAGCTAGCTTCACAGCTGCTCGGCAAAGCTCAGGCATTCCACCAATAGGTAAATACTCATGATTTAAAGTTTTATTATCTGCTATTTCTTTTTCTACTTTTTGAACAACTGGAAGTACATATGGAGCACCCTCTTCAGTTCGATAAGCTCCAACGATAAGACTAACTTTGTTAGGATGAGGATCAGCTTTAAAGTCAGCCACTAGACCTAATATCTTGTCTGGTGGAGCGAGATCTACATTTTCAAAGATTGATTTTGACATTTTATTGTTATTAATTTACTAAAAGTTTATATATTTTATTGTTATTAACTAAAAATTAAAATATTTCTAAGTTACCAAAATAAATTATAGGTAATGTGTATTTTTAGAAAATCAAGAAATATATGCAAACTATTTAACTCATCAAACATTCAACCCGCAATATAAAAAGACTGATATAACTGATTTAACAGTTCAACATCAACAAGAAAAAGGTATTAACAACTATAAAATAATACAATATTTGTAAACACCTAGCTAGGTTCTTGACCAGACTTTAGTTAGAATTTCTTATTGAGTCCTTTCAAGTACTAGAAAAGACTTTTAATATAGAATAATTAATTGGACCTTGCTTACCTTAACCAAAATTCTAGATAACCTCTAGAAAAAATGTAGATATTAATATTAGAATGACTGCTCTAATAATCATAACAAACATAACTAACCATAATTTTTTATACTACTGTATTTGACATATTAAATTAAATAGTTTATAATATTCTATTATGAACTATTGAACTTTCAATTGGAATATTTAATTCAAATGAATTGAATAACCTTTAGTGAAACTCTTTGTGTTAAAAACTTTATGCTGGACTGATGCCGATCAAACAAAGTTAAAGATTATTTATTGCCTACCTTATACTTTCTAATATTAAAGGCTGTATAAAAATAAATATTACCTTATATTTTCTAATATTAAAGGCTGTATAAAGATATATAGGAATAGATAAATTTTGATATTCCTGCAGAATAAAGTCTACATGTTACTAATATATTCTGCTCGCAAATTATTTTTGCAAATGCCAACTTTAAGTTTTTAATTCTGCTTCGCAAATTATTTTTGAAATGCCAACTTTAAGTTTTTGCAGTTTCAAATTTAAAAATAGTAATAATAATAATGGTGAAAAATTAATTTTTTTTTCAACTTATATACTAGCTCATATATATATATATATATATATATATATATATATATATATATATATATATATATATATACATATATATATATATATATATATATATATATATATATATATATATATATATATATATATATATATATATACTATATATATATATATATATATATATATATATATATATATATATATATATATATATATATAATGATTTGTGCGTATTTTACAGTAAAAAAGACAATAATAAAGAATACTGATCCAAATGAACATTTACGAGATATCAGTGCATGGAAACTGATAGAAGAACTAAATAAAATATATACTAGTCAACTTATGTACTAGCTATGTAGAGCATTTACAAATATGTCTGTGTAAAGCTATCAGTGAATATTTGTATGCTTAGTATGCAATATTTTTTGTATATAATCAATGTAAAAATAAAAAATATACTAAAATATATATAAAATATATATATATAAATATATATATAAATAATGAATATATACAAAACGTATACTAGAAGCTAATTAATTTCAATTTTATTAGTATAGAATCTTTGGATCTTTATATCTTTAAATTTAAAGTTAAGAGATACAAACAAGATATAAAACTATTTATTAAATTATTATAGGAAATCAGAATAAAATTTATTCTAATCATCTTTAGCGAGAAAAGTCAACATCCCAAATGAAAATCAAAAAATGGGTTCATATGTCAGTAATGAAAAAAAATTCAGCGTTAACAACTACAAAGATTACAACTGGGAAAGAAGTAAAAAAAAGTTATTTATTCAATTCAATCATTCTTTTATACTATTAATTTTAAAACTATTAACTTAACATTGTCAGCAACAACAGTAAAAATAAAATAAGTAAACAAAAAGAAAATGTGTCTCAAGATCTGTCTGACAACTAGAGGTGTCAACCAAACACAAACATGTTCTATAATAAATTAAAATCTAATAAAAT